GTAATGATGAGTAATTGATTAAATTAAACAGTCTGCGTGTGTTAGTGGATGAATGTCTACCTTTGATAAAGCCGGTTTGATCTGGATGAATTATGGATGGAGTGACTTTGTCTAATCTGTGAGTTAGTGCCTTAGTGATGATTTTAATATCTATATTGAGAAGAGAAATGGGACGGTAACTAGAAGGAAGAGTTGGATCTTTGTTTGGTTTGAGGAGGAGTGATATACTGGCTGTGTTCATGTTGGCTGGAAATTGCAAATTTTGTTTTATTTCAGTTATCATTTTGTTAAAGAGTGGAGCTAGAATGAACCAGAAGTGTTTATAGAACTCAGCTGGGAAGCCATCGGGACCTGGTGCTTTGTTATTGGGCATAAAATTGAGTGCAGTAAAAAGTTCGTCCTGTTAATGGTGAGTCAAGTATGTTGATTTGTTCTTTGTTAAGCTGTGGTAGATCAATGCTGTTGAGAAATTAGTTGATGTGTTCTTGATTTGGGTTCTTTTTAGATGAATATAAATTGGCATAAAAACTTCTGAAGATTTTATTTATTTCATCGGGTGAATTTGTGGGCTTCCCTGCAGTCCTTGATGATTGAGATTGTTGTTTTTTCTTTATTTCGTTTAATTTGATTTTCCAAATATTTACCGGATTTATTGCTATGGTGAAAATGTTCTAGTCTGTGTATGAAGTCGGCTATTTTCATTTTTGTGTGAATTTTCCCTTGATTTCTAGTCGCTATACTTTAACGAACTCCTCCTAGAGACTTTCTCAGATCCTTTTCAAATTTGGTCAGTATAATCTAAACACCTTTGCAATTAAAAGATACTCAAAGCTTTATGTTTGATGGAATGGCGTAGCCGTGGCGTGGCGGCCATTGTACGTGATTCACCATTAAACAACAAGCTGATATAACTCCACTGTACTTGCTCAAATCTGTCAGTCATGGCCTGAGGATGTCTACAAGCCAATTTTCACTCAAAGTCATAGCGCCACCTACTGGCAACAGGAAGACAGCGTTATGTGACAAACTGAATCCGATTTACATGATATTTACATGATGTGGTCTATACTTGATATAGAGCAACATAATGCATGTTTGCGCATGTTCTCTAGCGCCACAAAGTGGATACAGGAACTGGTGGAATATTTGCACTACATAATTTCCTACATCACACAGTCCAAGCATTAAAAATACGTCTAACTTGTGGGCGCGCTGTCTGATGGTCGCTTCTGCCAGCATCCCGCCAGTACCCCCGAGACACGGGAAGGTGCGAGGGCCCGTACATCGCTGCTTGCAGCTTTAATTCTTGTTCTATAATTTCATAAATAAAATAAACTAGATTTTGTATATATAACTATATATAAAACTTTATAAGCTGTGATATCAAATAGCTTTTGCGGCTCCAGGCAAATTTTATTTAGTGGAAAATAGGGCAAAATGGCTCTTTGGATAGTAAAGGTTGCCGACCTCTGATCTAGGTGAAACGTACTGCGAGGGCTGCATCGTTGAAATATTGTAGGGGGCGCTATGGAGCCAACTGGCCACTCTGAAGCATTAAAATCACATCAGATAACTACGTTCAGGATTTTAAATGTGTGACAAGTTTGATTATGTTTTGAGCATTTTTAGCCCCTCAAAAACACCTTCGTTTTTAATGGTGAAGAATGCGTCGCCCCAATATAATTTTTTGAAGCCCAAATATGATTTAGGGGCCTACCAAATTTTGTAAATCTATGTGAAATGTACTGCGAGGGCTGCTTCATCAAAATTCTGTAGGGGGCACTATTGAGCCGAATTGCCACTCTGAAGCAATGAAACCATAATATGTAACTAAATGTTGGGCTTTAAATGTGTATGCCAAGTTTGCTTATGTTTCGAGCATTTTTAGCCCCTCAAAAGCACCTTCGTTTTTCACGTCGAAGACTGAATCGCCACGGCAATGGCGTTTGACGAAACATCAAAACCTGGCATTATGAACTTCTTACATTTGTGTGGAACTAATTTGATGTTGATCCGATTTACTTACTAAGAGAAACAAGCCAAAGTATAATGACTTTATCTTCCTGTTACCAGTAAGTGGCGCTATGACTGTGATTCAAAATTGGCCTGCAGATGTCTTCAAGCCTGGAGTCTAATCAAACACGTGAAATCTGGAAAAGATCTGATGATGTGGAGTCAAGTTACATCAGTTTATGTGTTCATGGCGAAGGATTGAAATTTGCCAAGCCGCCACGTCGCCGCCCTTTAACAAATTCTTACAATCTTCACAATGAAGCATTATCAAGGTCTTTAGGCTTTTCTGACAATATTTGAGAGGGATCTGATTAATCTGTGATCTTTGAGTAACTATTCGCTGTCAAGGTCTCAAGAGCATACTGATCAAATCTGGAGGCAATTGGGTTAAATCTCTAGGAGGAGTTCGTTAAAGTACGGCGCCTGGAAACGTTACACAAACGTCATCAAATTCAAAATGGCCGACTTCCTGTTTGGGCAGGGGTCTTCAATGTTTTTCAGGCCAAGAACCCCCAAACTGATAGAGAGATGGAGCAGGGACCCCCGACTATATATATATTGTATAAAATTGTGTTTTATATTAAACTGGGCCTAGTGCCATGTATAAACATGCCTCTTTACTGTGCATTCAATACTAAGCTATTCAAATAATACACAGGTTCATATATTCATGTTTTCATTTTAAAACAGCTGATTGTCAGCTGATACCAATGCCAATATCAACATTGTCTGTCAATTAATTGCATGATAATCATGCATACAAGCTATTCAAATTGATGTTTTCATTTTAAGCATAAATGAGTGATGGCCTATTAGTGCCACTGGCATGCATAAACATACCTGTTATCTTGCATACAATACTGAACTATTAAAATAATGGACAGATTCATGTTTGGAAAAAAAAAAAAGAATTGTCTAAACAATCAAACATTTGGCGGACCCCCTGTTGAAGACCTCTGGTTTAGGGCATACTTCTAAAAGGATCTTTTGTATGTCCCATCAAGTTACACAAACCTACCAAATTTCATACAGCTAGGTGAAACCTATTGTTGGGCCTACTCAAAAGGGGGCGCTGTCGAGCCAATTTTTCATACCGCCCTAATAAGCTCATCATTGGTCACATGACAAAACAACAGGATGGATTTTTATTGAAGCTGGTGATTTTAATCAAACAGACCTCAGATCTGAAAAAAACATTTGTGTCAGCTACAAAGCCCAACTTTGGACAATCAATCCTGCTTCCCCTATCTACTTACACCAAGCTGATAAAAAGGGTGAAACCATCAGAAAAACTTTTTAAAAATGTGTGGACAGATTAGGGCTGCACGATTATGGCCAAAATCATAATCACGATTTTTTGATCAATATTGAGATCACGATTATCACGATTATTCATTAATTTTAGGGACATCTTTTTATTGCACTTTCACGTTTAAATGAACAAGAACACTGCTTCCACTTCCATTGTTGTGCTACATTCTGGCTAATGTACAAATCTTTGCATCAGACTGGTCCTTATCACAGTGCATCTCGTGGAAGGAAAATATAAATAAAATAGTATCAACACTTTTTACCGAAAATTAAATCAACAGAGCACTGCTTTCACTTCCATGTTGTGCTACATTCCAGCTAATGTACACGTCTTTGCATCAAAATAAAACTTATACAGTTCTTATTCACCTGAAGCAAAATATAAATGACTGTCTGCTCTCTGTTCTGTTGTCTGTCTCTCTCCTCTTCTACTAAAACCAGAGTCGACTGCAGACAGAACTTTTTTGAGGCTGCCGCTGCAGGGTGCGCGCATGACACCTCCCATCTCGTTCTCCCCCTGGTGGTTGGCTGACTGTTAGTTGAGGAAGCGCTTGATTTGATATGTAGCAGAGCACGCATTTTAAACGTCAATATCGCTGACGATCATGCTCATTTAATTGTGGGAGCCAAAATTGTGGGAGCCAAAATCGTGATCGCAATTAAAATTTGATTAATTGTGCAGCCCTAGGACAGATACAGCAGCTGTACAGGGCTGCATACACTGGAACATACACACATACACACGTACACACGCAACCGTCAACATAAAGAGAACTCTGCTGCCATCATCGGTCAGACTACAAACAAAGATGAAAATTCATATCACAAGGAATTAAACAATCTTGCAGAGTGGTGCTCAACATCCTACTTCACAATGTCAGTAAAACCAAGGACCTGATTGTTGATTTTAGAAAAAAAAGGAGACGAAGACACACACCCCTGTCTACATCAGTGAAGCTGGGGTGGAGCAGTTTTAAGTTCTTAGGAATCAGCATCAGAGAGAACCTGAAATGGTCATCACACATCTGTGACGACCCTCTCTGCCTGTTGCCTGGTTGTTTGGCTGCTTTCCTTGCAGGCGTGGAGGTGGGTGAGGCAGGGGGTCGTCAGGCAGAGTGTAAACACCTGAGGCCATTAACAACACTGGCCCTGTGTGCCAGTATAAAAACCCTCTGGATTCTCAGTTGGTCTCTCTCTCCTTCCTGAGACACCCATTTTGATTTTTCTTTGCGGTTATGGTTTGTTTCTACACATACAACACTGCATATACACTTTCCATGCACACACTCACTTACACTGCTGAAATTACTGACTTCACATGTCACTGTTAGTTTATGGGTGTCTTAATAAATAATTTGTTAAACTGCTTCGTTGAGTGCATCTCCCTTTTTTGTCATGGCTGTTCGGCCCGGTTTGTGACACATCTCAATCATGGTAAAAATAAGTGCTAAAAGTATACTAAGAGACAATACCCACCTCAACAACAGCCTGTTTACCCTACTCTGTTGTTGTTTTTTATGTAGTATGAAGGGACTGCAACTTGCATTACGTTGAGCAACCCTGAGTTGTAGTATGACCATAAATTAATCTCTTACCTTGAACATAGTATATGAGGCACCAGTGTCTGAAATAATGGCTCAGAGAATGAAATGTCAATAACTGTCATGTACATGTACCTCTCAGTGGCGACAGAGGCGGCGGCGTCCAGGGCAAATTGCCTCATCACGCTCTCTTCCAAGTACTTCTGCTCCCATTTGGTCATGTCAGCCTCCAGAGCCAGGATCTGCTCCTCCTTCTCCCTCAAGTGCTCCATCAACGCTGTGGCATTGTACTCCGATGGCACTGAACCACTGCTTTGAGTGCCTCCCTGACGCTGGGAGGGAAATGAGGGAGACAGAACATGGTAAGAGGACATGCCATTTGTGGATTCAACATTAAATCTGTTGCTAACTGTGTTACCTTCCAGAAGTACTAATGATTGTCTGTTATGGCAACATTCAATTGTAAAAGATACGAGTTTTATTGGAAGAACAGTGTTGCAACATCTTCAATTTATGTGTTAGTATGTGTGGGAAAATCGTCTGAAGTTTATATGCTGAACTTGAATACATGTCCAATATTCTCTCTCTGTTTGCTCAGTTTTGGTCCACCAACTCCTGTCAAATAGCTGTCTCTAAAGCTGCTAAATGCTCCACTATGTCCACCAACTGAGCTGAGTGACAACTAAAGGAGCCTCAGTCAAATGTTCAAACCTACTGAGACACATACACTTCTGTGAGCTGAGGGTCTTGTATAATATTTTATCAGCTATTATATTATCTTCTACTTTCAAATGTAAAACACAGATATAGGGATTTACCAGCAGAACTAGTAGAGTGATGAGGATTTGTATACAATTCATAAATGCATGTTGTCACAGGGCCTACTAAATAAATTAATTGTATTCAAATGGGAAGGGGCATAAGCACAACCTGATGGTCTCTTTATTCATAAATGGTCTAGGTAAACGTCAACCAGCATAGGCCTAGGGTGTTACCTGCTGCATGCGTAGCGACTCAAGCTCTCTCTCCAGTCTAATACGGAGGCGATGCTCAAGTTGTTCTCTCTTCTGACATGCCGCCTGGAGCTGAGCCAGAGCTTGCTGCATCCTCTCCACCTTTTCCACATAGACTTGCTTTTTCTTGAGCTGCACACACGCACACAGATACATACACACACAAACACAGAGGGGGGGTAGTTACATCATTGTAATTCTGCTATGCTAATTCACCTCAACACATCTAAATCTACATATCTAACACATCATGGTCTTGGTCTTCAATCTTGTGAAATAGAGAATCATGCATTCTTCCCTGCTGTTTGTGAGGTTGTTTGATGGTTCAAGGAATTTGCATTACACCAACAAGTTATGAGGAATACAGGACAGAGAATCTTCAAAAGTTGTAGTGGTTCAGCAGGCACTTCTGTCAAACAACCAGAATCCTTGTTTTCTAATTTTTTTTGTTTCCTTTGTCGACTTAATCTGGCCAAAAATATGTTTCAATGCAGCAAATATCCACAGAAATTCTGTTCAAGGAGAATGAAGACAATCAAAAACATCAGACTTCAAGTATTAATCCATTAGAGATTGATGTAAAATATGTTTTACTGAGGTTATAGAAATCTACTGTCATTTTAAGTTTTACTTTAATTAAACATATGGATTCAGCTGATACATAAAATCAATGTGTACTTAATTAACCATTTCTTCATGATTCAGAGAAATATGCATATTTTTGGTTAACCACACATTTGCAGACATGTTAACACATATCCAAAAAGAAATACAAACGTGTTTGTACATATTTAGGACGGACTACTGACCGACTTTCCTTCTTCACCTTTTGGTTTTATTGGTCTAAAAATAACTACATTTTCTGTGAAGTTAACTGTTACAGTATATTTACTGCTACTGTCATCTCTTATATAAAAAGTTCAGTTCTAAAATATCCAGCCTCATAACATTGTATATCATATATGCACACATATATAAACTCGTAAAACCAAATTTCAATAATCTTCATTCCACATGAAGTTATCGGAGACCTCTCCTTCACTTTCTGAAATATCTGCATTGATCACATAACATTAATGATATATTTCTGGTACATTAACAGTATCTTTAAATTGTTGAGTAAAATGTTGAGTGTCCAGACAATTGAAAATCTGTTGGACAGATTACAGATGGCACTCCTCTCATAATGAGAGCGCTTTATCCAGGGTTTGTTGGTGTTCAATACACTGATTCAGATCTGAGTGACTATCTCCAAAAGCAGGAGAAAAAAAGGAGAAAGTTGAGAGAAAAATAGAGAGGTAGACAGAGAAGAGATGGTTTAAAAAATTTTTTTTTTAAAAATTGCAGATCTTTTGTTCCGACAACAAGCAAGCATTGTGAGTCACAGACTGGCTTTGGCCCCGGCTCATGCCTATTTCCTGTCCTGTACGGGACCACAGTTACACCCCTATTTCACTTTGACCTCCACAATAAAGTGGTTAAGATCATTGGAATAAATTGCTGGTTAGTTGTAGCATGGTATAGTTACAGATATTTTCGTTCAATATTTAGGTGAGACGTTTGTGCAGAACTTTATGTTTAAAGATGTTAACAATATGTTTTCTGCTTATCTTCTGGAAATCAAAGCACTGTATAATTTATCTATTGTTTTGACTCACTTTCTTGAACCTGAGCCAAAGTGTTCACAGTGCATTAATGAGTATGCCATCTGCACCTGTTTTAAAGATGTCCATTGTTATTTAGTGTATTTGGTGAATAAAGCAGACTACATGAAAATAATGACAAATGTGCCACTCTTTTTTCCACAGTCAAGAAAAACCTTGAGTCGAAGCCACTTAACAGAGCAGTGGGGATAACATTAACATATACAGTATATTCTACTTCTCTTACTGTTTAAAACCTCTTGAACCCTAGCCCTATTTTTAGGCCTCTGCTCAAAAATTGCATACTCATACTTAAAAGACTGTAAATCTGAAACTACAAGGTCTATTTTAATAATGTTGATGGTATAATACAGGTAACACTTGTGAGATGTGCTGATATGTGTAAATATTGTGTATATGTTACTGGTTAATAAAATATACACATATGGCACAGCTCAAATTGAAAAGGTTTCAGGTTCGCCTGGAAAAAAAAGCACTTGTGTTGAAAATATTACTTGAAATAATGCCTAAAATGTCAATGGCATAGCCACAGTCATAGCACAACATGTTTTACAGTCTCTAAAACAGATTTGACTTCGATTGAGTGAAGCAGGCCAGCATAAACCAAGCAAAGTCAAGCAAAATTCTCATTTTTGGAACCAGCAGTTGCGCTGCTTTATTCTAATTTTATATACTATATAACTAAATATTAATTATATATTCACTTGTCTTATCACTAATAGTGTTCAATAATCCTAATAAAGCAGTTTGGCATCATTTGGAGCAATATTGAGCAATTTTGAGCTGTCATCTCTGTCATCCATAAAATAAATTCCTCAGTGTGTGTGTCTATGTAGGCCTTTGTAAGGCCTGTGATTGGCCGATTTAATCATGTGACACCTTGTTGGATGCGGGAGAGTCCAACGGAAGCCATGCGGGGGTGTTTGAGAAGCTGCGGTCCATTTACTCACTGAAAATCTCGATATGCTTGGCAAACCCCCATGTCTAAATTCATTGGTCCAGCTGACTGAATGGCTGGCATTCTCTCATTCATTCTCTCAGAGCCGCCATTTTACTTCACACACACGGAGGGGGAGTCGGATTATAGAGCTGCTGCATATTTCAATGGATTAGCTGCATTTTTCGTCACGAAAATCAGCAAAAGGTATGTGGCAGTTCAATTTTTTTCTGGGGAGCGGTGGGTTGTTGGTTGGCGTTGCTTATATAACTTTTGGACGGTTTGAAAGAGAGTAAGTTGGACACATCCAGTCGACGCCGGGTCGAATCACGCCCCTACTGCATGTGTCCTTCCGCCATGATCGCTGCCGGCTTTGTCATGAGAGACCCAAACAAAGAGCATAGTACTCAGATTTTGGCCAAAAAACATGGTTGTAGGAGCCAGGTGTGGCCTGTGTCGATTTGTATGCCCTTTTTTGTCACTTGAGTCACGTGGTGCTGGGGATAGCCACAATGGGGTTATCAGCCGTCAGTTGAGTTAGACTAGGAAAAGGATTGGAAGGAGAGGGGGTGAGAGAGGGAGCCTTATTTTTTGTTGACCGTTATTTCACGTTATTCACATTAATACTGTCATTTCTTGAGTTATAATTGTATGTTATCTGGAATCAACGTTTATTTGTTGCCCACAAAATAAACACTCCAAAGTCATCCACTGGATTCCGGAAATCATTTAACGTTACAGCCAACGCGTCCGCAAGTTTAAATCTCCCCCACTTAGCCTCTCGGTGACTAAAGGAAAACTGCCAGTCAGCTACAATGGTATTGTGGTAAATCTTATAGATATCTTCTAGATATGATCTTAGTTCATGTATAATTGTGTTTTGCAGTGTGTAAAATGGCTCCCATGGTTGTTTCAACCAGAATCTCTTTGTTACATAGATATATGATATGTCATAAAATATCATTTAATTCGTTTCGCAAAAGTGAATTGTACACGTGTGTACTCTGTCGCCCCCCCTCTAGTCCCCTTTAAAGGGGACTTTTGGCACCAAGAGGTTTTAACTGGATCTAAGAACAGCTGTGTTCACACATGTTTACTTTCCGTGGTCCACAGCCAGGCAAAGGTTTTATTCATTTTGTGCTATTTCATTTTACCAAGGACCTTACCAGGTCCAAGCACGATTATTGGAGTTTTTGTCACTGCTGAGTTTTAATAATCTCTTTTTTTAATTAACAGTAATCCAGTTTATTCCCTACAGGAGTTTTCCTTGTTCATTTTGGACAGAGTTTATATCCCACCTTAGGCCTGCCTTATACCCTTTTCCCACCAAAATCAGCATGTGTGCAGATTTACTTCCCATTGTTCTTTCCCCATAACCATTAGATGAGTATGACTTTCTATTTTTCTTTTTTTTCCTGGTGTGTTACGTTTAATGTCATGAAAACACCAGAAAATGGAGTAAGTAAACAGTGAAAATGATAGGTTGGTATCATCTTTTTTTTAATATATATTTTTTTATTATTCAGTATCTCTGTCGAACAAGACTTGGTGATTGTTAAAACAGTGGAAAGACTAACAAAGTAGGTTTTGATGAGTTTTATTTAGTTTCTGTCGAGTTTGAATGAAGTGCGTTTTTACAATGAACAGTAAAAATACTGTTTCAAATAATGGAGTCTGGTAGCTGTGAGGAGGACATATGCCAGGCGTTTCTTTTCACATCTTACTTGGTAAATAAAGGGTTAATTTCAACCAAACCAGAGTTGATGACCCTACGACAGTCCGACAACCACTTAAAGTGCTTTTTACACTACATGTCATTCACCCATTCACATCCATTCATACACTGATGGCAGGCTACCATGCAAGGTGCCACTATTCATCGGGACTAAGTAAGCTTACACCGATGGCACAGCCCTCTGGAGCAATTTAGGGTTAAGTGTCTTGTCCAAGCACACATTGACACGGACTGGAGTAGCCTGGAATTGAACCGCCAATCCTTTGATTGAAGGACGACCCGCTCTAACTCTGAGCCACAGTAGATAATGCTCCCATGAACATTTAATTGATTACCACTTTTCTTTTTATAGAAACCCAGCTTTGGGACTCTATGATCACTGTCTGGTTTATCTTCTCCTGATTAAAAGACAGAAATTTTAATTTGATAAGCCTGTGGTCAAGATTGTGAGATGGACAAACGAGGCAAAGCTGGAGTTCCAGGCCTGCTTTGACTTAACTAAATTGAGATGACTTCACTGGCATAGTGAGAAGTGTGTGCTGACTAAAACCTGTGCATATAATTACAATAAACCCTGGTTTACGGCAAGACAGCTTCATCAGGCCAAGGAGGAGGCCTATAGAAGTGGGGACAGACTCATGTAGTAAAGTTTAATCGGAGAGGATTGCCTGCGCACTACCTATCATTACTGCTTTTATTATCATAATTATCCTATTACATCCATTGCTGCTGTTATTAGCATTTTTCTATTATTGCTCCTGCTATTATAAATAATTATTCTCCTATTCACAGGATT